TCGATATTTTTTTGAAAATAGCCTACTATGATCAAAACCAAAAAATGCTTTAAATTGCATTTTAAAACATATCTAGGTAATATAAATGATAAAGAATGCTAATATAGATATAAAATCGATATTTTTTTGAAAAAAGCCTCATATGATCAAAACCAAAAATGCTTTAAATAGCATTTTAAAACATATTTAGGTATTATAAATGATTAAGAATGCTAATATAGATATAAAATCGATATTTTTTTGAAAATAGCCTCCTATGATCGAAACCAAAAAATGCTTTAAATTGCATTTTAAAACATATCTAGGTATTATAAATGATAAAGAATGCTAATATAGATGTAAAATCGATATTTTTTTGAAAATAGCCTCCTGTGATCAAAACCAAAAATGCTTTAAATTGCATTTTAAAACATATCTAGGTATTATAAATGATTAAGAATGCTAATATAGATATAAAATCGATATTTTTTTGAAAATAGCCTCCTATGATCGAAACCAAAAAATGCTTTAAATTGCATTTTAAAACATATCTAGGCATTTTAAATGATAAAGAATGCTAATATAGATATAAAATCGATATTTTTTTTGAAAATAGCCTACTATGATCGAAACCAAAAAATGCTTTAAATTGCATTTTAAAACATATCTAGGCATTTTAAATGATAAAGAATGCTAATATAGATATAAAATCGATATTTTTTTTGAAAATAGCCTACTATGATCGAAACCAAAAAATGCTTTAAATTGCATTTTAAAACATATCTAGGCATTTTAAACGATAAAGAATGCTAATATAGATATAAAATCGATATTTTTTTGAAAATAGCCTACTATGATCGAAACCAAAAAATGCTTTAAATTGCATTTTAAAACATATCTAGGCATTTTAAATGATAAAGAATGCTAATATAGATGTAAAATCGATATTTTTTTGAAAATAGCCTCATATGATCAAAACCAAAAATGCTTTAAATTGCATTTTAAAACATATCAAGGCATTTTAAATGATAAAGAATGCTAATATAGATATAAAATCGATATTTTTTTGAAAATAGCCTACTATGATCGAAACCAAAAAATGCTTTAAATTGCATTTTAAAACATATCTAGGCATTTTAAATGATAAAGAATGCTAATATAGATATAAAATCGATATTTTTTTGAAAATAGCCTACTATGATCGAAACCAAAAAATGCTTTAAATTGCATTTTAAAACATATCTAGGCATTTTAAATGATAAAGAATGCTAATATAGATATAAAATCGATATTTTTTTGAAAATAGCCTACTATGATCAAAACCAAAAAATGCTTCAAATTGCATTTTAAAACATATCTAGGCATTATAAATGATAAAGAATGCTAATATAGATATAAAATCGATATTTTTTTGAAAATAGCCTACTATGATCAAAACCAAAAATGCTTTAAATTGCATTTTAAAACATATCTAGGTATTATAAATGATTAAGAATGCTAATATAGATATAAAATCGATATTTTTTTGAAAATAGCCTACTATGATCGAAACCAAAAAATGCTTTAAATTGCATTTTAAAACATATCTAGGCATTTTAAATGATAAAGAATGCTAATATAGATATAAAATCGATATTTTTTTGAAAAAAGCCTCCTATGATAAAAACCAAAAATGCTTTAAAATACATTTTAAAAAATTTCACGGCATTATAAATGATAAAGAATGCTAATATCGATATAAAATCGATATTTTTTTGAAAAAAGCCTACTATGATCAAAACCAAAAATGCTTTAAATTGCATTTTAAAACATATCTAGGCATTATAAATGATAAAGAATGCTAATATAGATATAAAATCGATATTTTTTTGAAAATAGCCTCCCGTGATCAAAACCAAAAATGCTTTAAATTGCATTTTAAAACATATCTAGGCATTATAAACGATAAAGAATGCTAATATAGATGTAAAATCGATATTTTTTTGAAAATAGCCTACTATGATCAAAACCAAAAATGCTTTAAATTGCATTTTAAAACATATCTAGGTATTATAAATGATTAAGAATGCTAATATAGATATAAAATCGATATTTTTTTGAAAATAGCCTACTATGATCGAAACCAAAAAATGCTTTAAATTGCATTTTAAAACATATCTAGGCATTTTAAATGATAAAGAATGCTAATATAGATATAAAATCGATATTTTTTTGAAAATAGCCTCCCGTGATCAAAACCAAAAATGCTTTAAATTGCATTTTAAAACATATCTAGGCATTATAAATGATAAAGAATGCTAATATAGATATAAAATCGATATTTTTTTGAAAATAGCCTACTATGATCAAAACCAAAAATGCTTTAAATTGCATTTTAAAACATATCTAGGTATTATAAATGATTAAGAATGCTAATATAGATATAAAATCGATATTTTTTTGAAAATAGCCTCCCGTGATCAAAACCAAAAATGCTTTAAATTGCATTTTAAAACATATCTAGGCATTATAAATGATAAAGAATGCTAATATAGATATAAAATCGATATTTTTTTGAAAAAAGCCTACTATGATCAAAACCAAAAATGCTTTAAATTGCATTTTAAAACATATCTAGGCATTATAAATGATAAAGAATGCTAATATAGATATAAAATCGATATTTTTTTGAAAATAGCCTCCCGTGATCAAAACCAAAAATGCTTTAAATTGCATTTTAAAACATATCTAGGCATTATAAATGATAAAGAATGCTAATATAGATATAAAATCGATATTTTTTTGAAAATAGCCTACTATGATCAAAACCAAAAATGCTTTAAATTGCATTTTAAAACATATCTAGGTATTATAAATGATTAAGAATGCTAATATAGATATAAAATCGATATTTTTTTGAAAATAGCCTACTATGATCGAAACCAAAAAATGCTTTAAATTGCATTTTAAAACATATCTAGGCATTTTAAATGATAAAGAATGCTAATATAGATATAAAATCGATATTTTTTTGAAAAAAGCCTCCTATGATAAAAACCAAAAATGCTTTAAAATACATTTTAAAAAATTTCACGGCATTATAAATGATAAAGAATGCTAATATCGATATAAAATCGATATTTTTTTGAAAAAAGCCTACTATGATCAAAACCAAAAAATGCTTCAAATTGCATTTTAAAACATATCTAGGCATTATAAATGATAAAGAATGCTAATATAGATATAAAATCGATATTTTTTTGAAAAAAGCCTCCTATGATAAAAACCAAAAATGCTTTAAAATACATTTTAAAAAATTTCACGGCATTATAAATGATAAAGAATGCTAATATCGATATAAAATCGATATTTTTTTGAAAAAAGCCTACTATGATCAAAACCAAAAATGCTTTAAATTGCATTTTAAAACATATCTAGGCATTATAAATGATAAAGAATGCTAATATAGATATAAAATCGATATTTTTTTGAAAATAGCCTCCCGTGATCAAAACCAAAAATGCTTTAAATTGCATTTTAAAACATATCTAGGCATTATAAATGATAAAGAATGCTAATATAGATATAAAATCGATATTTTTTTGAAAATAGCCTCCTGTGATCAAAACCAAAAATGCTTTAAATTGCATTTTAAAACATATCTAGGTATTATAAATGATTAAGAATGCTAATATAGATATAAAATCGATATTTTTTTGAAAATAGCCTACTATGATCGAAACCAAAAAATGCTTTAAATTGCATTTTAAAACATATGAACGCTTTTGCCGAAGAACGTGACGTGAAAAAACGGTCATTTGGAATTTGAAAATGATTTAACCGATTTTTACAAAACAAAGAAATTTTTTTAAAACTGATCAACGGTTATTCTTACAATAAAATTAGTGATTTTTCTTATACTAATAAATTTGCCAATAATTGATTGAATTAATACATCCTTGAGTGTTCAGTTCACTTGTTTGTTGTTTTTCTCTAACCATTTTGAATTAAAGTACAATAAACTCAATAAAAAAATAATAAAATGTAATTTTACGTGTGTAAACAAAAAAAAAATTTCTTTGTTTTGTAAAAATCGGTCAAATCATTTTCAAATTCCAAATGACAGTTTTTTCACGTCACGTTCTTCGGCAAAAGCGTTCATATCTAGGCATTTTAAATGATAAAGAATGCTAATATAGATATAAAATCGATATTTTTTTGAAAAAAGCCTCCTATGATAAAAACCAAAAATGCTTTAAAATACATTTTAAAAAATTTCACGGCATTATAAATGATAAAGAATGCTAATATCGATATAAAATCGATATTTTTTTGAAAAAAGCCTACTATGATCAAAACCAAAAATGCTTTAAATTGCATTTTAAAACATATCTAGGCATTATAAATGATAAAGAATGCTAATATAGATATAAAATCGATATTTTTTTGAAAATAGCCTCCCGTGATCAAAACCAAAAATGCTTTAAATTGCATTTTAAAACATATCTAGGCATTATAAACGATAAAGAATGCTAATATAGATGTAAAATCGATATTTTTTTGAAAATAGCCTCTTATGATCAAAACCAAAAATGCTTTAAATTGCATTTTAAAACATATCAAGGCATTATAAATGATAAAGAATGCTAATATAGATATAAAATCTATATTTTTTTGAAAATAGCCTACTATGATCGAAACCAAAAAATGCTTTAAATTACATTTTAAAACATATCAAGGCATTATAAATGATAATGAATGCTTATATAGATATAAAAACTTTTTAAAAAACACGCTTTTATCAAAAAGACTAAAACCAAAAAGATGAAAATAAAATAAGATCACACTTTTAGCGAATCAGGATTTTAAAAGTTTTCTTGTGACAACAAGAAATATAACATGAAATTTTTTCAAAATATTGTGATTAAGACCAAGAACACAATGACTCTAAAAGCGTAGGGCGTAATTAAGGATGAATTTCTTAGTTCTGCTAAGTTCTTAAGTAATAGAAGCGTCAAATCTCAAAGCCCAAAAAGTTTTTATTTTTTTGTCAAATCTTTTATTATTTTAAAGTACCTATCATACAAATTATTCATAATTCATTTTGCAATTAATTTTATTTACTTACGTTTTTGAATGAGATTATATTAAGAATGATTAAAAATACACAATGGAATATTTTAAAAACTAAAGGATTAATGAAAATTAATTAGCTAGCGCCTCTTGAAGTTTTTTACGGATTCCATTGACTCTTTCTTCTTGTTTTCGAATATCTTCATCTGTTATGGAGCATGCATGCAATAAGGGTTGATCTGGATTTACAAACACGCCTGGATTTGTAGTTAGAGCATTCTTTGGAGACGTTTGTCCTGTTACAGGATGCAAGGAAGTATGAAGAGCTGTTGCCACAGATTGAAATAATGTTTGTTCTCTAATATTTGGACCGACAGTTTTTAATTGTTTAGGAAGGTCGATTGATGCAAATTCCGCTCCATCACTATCACAAGCATTCATAGCCTCGAGACGTTTTTCCCAAAACTGATTTTTAAAATTATTAAACGACAATTCATGAACTAATTTACTTACCAATTGTCGAGGCTTGTCTTGAGTTCCATGTTTTAATTCGGATTTTACTTTACTCTCTTGAGATTTAATTACTGTCACAGGTTGCTTAAAAATTGAAGCCGTTTGTCGTATTGGCGCTATCAAGGATGCATCGGATCTAATTGTTCTGAAAATTCAACATTAAAAACACATTAATACGTAAAATAAACTAGAATGTTGATCAACAACATGCACAAATGAAACTGTGAAATAATAAAAGGAAGACGCAAACTATAATATATTATAAGCAAACATAATAGACTACAAATAACCACATCCAGTAAATCAACTGCTACTTCATAATTGAAATTTTGATGGCAAATACCTATAGTCAAATTGAGACAACTGAGATTGTTGTGCTGAATTAGCAGGCAAGTTGACGGGATTAACTGTTGCAGTAACGCTAGCAGAAATATTCAATTTTTTGGGCAAGCTTTGGCTAGATCGAATTTTTGACGCTGCTTCCAGTGCATCTTTATACTCCTTATATGCTTGAGGACTTTTAATTGTATGGATAAAGGTAATGTTATTTAACGAGAATTATTAGTTAAATGATGTATGAAGACTGTTAATAATACTAAATTGACTCGTTTTCAAAATACTTACTTGTAATATGTAGCAAAATCCAGAGTATTTTTTGAAGAATTTAATTTTGATGGCAATTGACCATAATCATTGCGCTTCTTTTCTAAATTTATGTTCATCCTGATGCTTTTTACCAATTAAATCACTTTTGAGCTACTTAAACTTTAATTATAGCTAGATTTATTGTTATTTAAAATATTTTTGTAGAAAATATGTGTAGATTTCTGTGATAGTATTGGTGCGGGGCTGGAACGTTTTAGTCAATTCCGCTGTAGAAAACACACAACATCTGTTAAAATATTCGCGATTCACCTGAATTTGTTTTGTTTACTAGAAATTTTTTCTTTAAAATTTTTTAATTTTAATCACTTTGCAAAGCATTTCAATTAATTAAAAATGCCTCGAGCTGAAAAAGGAACTCCAAAGTACCTGGCGAATAAGATGAAAGCCAAGGGATTGCAGAAATTAAGATGGTAAGATGATTTTATATAAAAATTGAATATTTGACTGATACGTTTTTATTATTTACACTATCTTAGGTATTGTCAAATGTGTCAAAAACAATGTAGAGATGAAAATGGCTTTAAATGTCACATTAATACAGAAGCCCATCAACGGCAAATGCTTTTATTCGGTCAGAATACTGGATCTTATACTTATCAATTCTCAAAAGACTTCTTTGACTCTTTTATGGATATCTTACGTAGACAGTTTGGTACAAAACGGATAAAAGCTAATAAAGTATATCAGCAAGTAATTGCAGATAAAAATCATGTCCATATGAACTCAACAAGATGGCATACACTTACTGGATTTATTCAATGGCTTGGAAAAAGTGGAATCTGCATTGTTGATTTAATCGAGGATGAATGGTTTATAACATACATCGATAGAGATCCAGAGACTCTTGAAAGGCAGAAAAAGGCTGATAAAAAGAAAAAAATGGATAAGGATGATGAAGAACGATTATTGGATTTTATTGATCAACAAGTTGAACGTGATAAGGCACGGAAAGAAATTGAAGCCGACGATGAGGATAACATAAAATGCTCAGAATTAATAAGAGAAAATGAGGAAGAAAAAATTAAGCTAGACTTGAAAATTTTTAAGAAACCAGCAATTCCTTCACTTCTGCCACCAAAAAAGATACAGAAAATTGATACATCAGATACAGTCAGTGAAAAGTCCTATAAAAGTTCCTCATCGTCATCGTCATCGATATCTAAGCTTTCAGAAAGAAATAAGAAGTCAGCGCTTGACGAAATCATGGAGCAAGAAGAACAACACAAAGAAAAGAAAAATAGAAAAGATTATTGGCTTGCAGAAGGGATTGTAGTTAAAATCATTACAAAATCACTAGGAACAGAGTACTACAAAGAAAAAGCCGTAGTGAAAGAAGTCATTGACAAATATTTAGCTAAAGTTAAGCTTATTGAAACAGGCGAAAAGTTTAAACTTGACCAAGAACATCTTGAAACAGTCATTCCAAAAGTCGATGGTCGTTTAAGAGTTTTAAATGGTGCCTATCGAGATGGTATTGCAATTTTGAAAAGCATTGAAACATCAAAGTTTAGTTGTACAATTGAAATTGAAAAAGGACCGTTTAAAGGACGAATTGTTAGTGGAGTTCCATATGAGGATGTCTCAAAAATCTATGAGCAAAGTTAGTTCTTTTAAATTTATAAATTACGAATAAAAAAATTCAATTATTTTTAAAAATTTGTCCTAGTAAAAGTTAATTTTGCGATAATTGTCATAGCTTCATGGCTGTTAAATTCAATAGATAAGACGAAATATTTAAGTCTAGTTGACCATGAAATTACATCAATAGCAAAACATGTTTGGAAATGCCGATCGAATGCAAAAAAATGTCAATGGTTCTCGTCACAAAAAAATTGTACGTGAGTGACGCTTTGTTATTCTTGATTATCTCCTTATCCTTAAAAGTGACAAATTTGAGAGTTACTTTTTTGAAAAGAGAATTAAAATTCCCATCTATTGTTGTACAATTCACTTCTTGAAACTTTATAGTTGCTTAAAAAAACCACTTTAACTAAGCGTCACTCACGTACAATTTTTGGGAATTTTGCTATATCATCAATATTGTTTATTGATATATCTCCAAATGTATTTTTTTACGTCCTAAATTCAATTCTGTTCTTTTAAAGTTTATAAAAAATTTAAAATTGTTGCGTTAACATACCTAAATGGACAAAATTAAGTTAAATTTTTTTGAACGGTTTGAACTTTTTTGAATTTTTTCGGTTGTAATTTGTTTGTTTACAAACAAAATCGAAAATGAAATTTAAAAAGTCACGAAAATATCACTCCAATAATGATGTAAAAGCTCTTAAAATAGTCAGAACAGCTAATGTATCATCTCCTTTTCGTATTCAAATCATAATATTTGGGATTAATGATTGAATAATTAAGAATTTTGAGAATTTAATTTTTGATCTTTTGTATGATAGTGTTAGTGAAAAATTCAAATTATTTTTTCCCGTTAAGCAAAAATCCTGAAAAAAACGTCGAGGTACCGATAATAATTTAATTTTTTTGACGATTGACTCTGACCTACTGACTGACTCAAATTCGTAAATACTCAATGAAAATTACAGGTTTTTAAAGTCAATGTATTGGCATGAGACAGACAGCGCAGAGATGAAATAGAGATGTAGTTGTATGATGTATGATGTTCTTAATATACCTATATATATATATATACATAAAAACAAAACTTCACCTCTGCCGGCATTTTGAGGCATGGCATGCAAAAAGAAAGAGAGTTAAAGAAAAGAGAAAAGTTGCAAAAAATCACGACTGAAATCGAAAATAATTTTTATCTTCTTATTTCCAGTTCTACTTACTTAGAGATCACATATTCTATCAAATCTCTGTAGCTATTCGCGGTAATGATATTAAAAAAATAAGCAACAAAAACAAACATTTCTTTAGCGGAATTTCTGAGTGAAAAAAGTAGGTTGTTAACCGTTTTGTATAGTCTGTTAAAATTATCAAGTTCCACTGCTGTGATTTGAATCATAATGAATTTAATATTACCGATGTGCTATATGATATATAAATTAACCATGATATGAAGAAAGGTCATTTCCATTTCATAAAAGTTGATTTTTTGTGTCTTAATAGCACACGTCAAAAAAATGAAACAAAAAAAAATTGCATCATGTTGATCAAGTTGTATTTTCAACTTTTCAACCTACCTTACTCCCCAAAAAGAAGATTTTTCAATGTCTTAAGATTTCTCCTTCTCTCTCTTTCTTCTTTGATTCGTAAACTTGAGGATTTCTTCGCATTTCCACTTTACATTTTCTTCTGCTCATTCACAACAGCAACAACTATATGCTCAGAGAATATCTCGAGTAGCTCTGCAAATCAGCAAATAGTTTCTTTTCAACTGCTCATGGTTATGGACGTGTAAAGTATAAAAGATATTTTTATCCATTAATTATTAAATTAAAGATTTTCTTTCGCTATCGCTAATTCGGAACCAAATAAAAAAAAATATATATATAAAGTTTTTCTGACCTACATAAAAATGTGCAAGATGCATACTTTCAATGATATTTTAAGAGAGTATCTTTCAATACATGAATTTTTTAAATAAGAAGAAAATAATAATAAAGTCAAGTTTCAAGACTTTTGGAAAGAAAGCCTTGAAAGCTTGAATGAAGATAAAATTTTGTCACACGCATTTTGATGCTGAGTTAACATTTCAGTGAACGTGAAAATAAAATTTACCTTAAAAACGAACTTTTTAAATTTAAAAATGTGCAAATGAGATTTCAATCCAGTGGAATTCAGGTTTAAAATTTAAAAAATTCCTGTCTGTTGTCAACTGTTACAATTTTTTTTAAGATTTCCAATTAATATTTAAAAAGCATGTTAACAATGACAGTCTTGAATGTTTTGCCAAAATACAAGTTTACAGTACTTAGAGCAGAGATTTGTAGTCAACAGATTTAAGAGACCCTTCAAAATGAAGTGCAAGACTGTTATGATGTCATGTCTTCAAGGTTCTTAAAATTGATAATGAAAGCAAATGTGATTGGAATCAAGTTCACCGACCGAATATGTGTGAATATGTGAATGTGCTAAAAAGTAAAAGTCGTTTAATATAGCCAGATAAATCGATACGTTAAGCACAAAATTCATTTTATTCATTATTTTTATTGTCACACTTGATTAGGCAATGCATTCATTCAGTAACTTTTATCCACATAAGTACCAGTCTTATGAATTAATTATAAACTGCGTTAATCATAAACAAACACTTTTTTAATCAAAAGCTAATGATCATTAATGATAATTGAGTGTATTTTCATTTTACATGTAGGTGAAGAAAGGTTTAAGAAATAAATTAAATAAAACAGTAAAGTTGAAGTAACTCAGCAAGAAAGGCAAGCAAAAAAATTTCTTCATACATCTCTTCGTGAAGAAATGTTGTAATGCCATACAAAAAATGCGTAAAATTTCAAAAAAATTCACAAAATAAGATAAAATATACAACAGAAGCTAAACATAGCCGAAGGAAGTACAGCAGTAGCTTTCATTTAAATATAGAATGTACCACATAGCAAAATGCGTCATTATTGTGTTTTCAATTCTAAGTCGCGTTGCACTTTCGATAGGATCAAGGAGCAGTAAACTTTTATACTCGGAGCAAGAAATAGGTAAGTGATTAACATCCTTAAATATTTGTTCGAATTAAAATCTCGCACAATTGTCGAAATATGCAAAATAAAGCTTGATTAGCATTTTTGTATGGAAGTAATTGAATAATCCTTGAAGTAAATTGTAAAGTACATACTTAAAACACGTGTTGTAATATTAGAGCATTTGCAAGATGCACTTAAACACAAAAACTATTTTTGAGAATCAGATTGATTATTCAAGAACATAACACGATTGTTGTAAATTATCATAAGCTGTTGATAATAAGTCTCAGTGTAGGCTCTTAATATTATTTTAAAATCAAAGCACTACAGTTAAGGCTGTATTTATCTTTTCCCTAAATATCATATTCCACAGAACAAATAATTTCAGCATATATGCTGCGATCGAGTAACGGTTCTTGATTTCAGTTATTTACCATTATTTACCTTCAAAAAATCCATTCATTGACTATTTTCAATCTTCTTCTATCTATTTTACGCATGAAAGTATCGGAAATATCACACAATTCAGAATATTGTGCTAAGTGGCAACAAAACAACATAATGCCTTCATCTTCTCGTCATAATAGATGTTTAGTGTCATTGTCTTACTATTTCATTAAAGCGTTAAATTGCCTTCATGATAGGAAAGAAAAAGGCACAGTGATTCTATTTTGTTTATAATAAGAAGAGTAAACAACAACGAGCGCAAGCATATCATGATGATTATTATAATAATATTGCTAATGCTTCTCTTTAACGTTTATTTACATATTCATGGTTTTGATTACAATATATTACATACAATACAACAGGCACCAACATACATTATTTTATTATTTTCCATAATTTGTGATTTCGAAAAATGCGCGCCATACTCTCGCTCTCCTAATAAGGAAGGGAAGTAACAATAAATGCATGCGAATTAATTTAATAAAAATATATGTGTAGATACCTAGATAGAAGACGGCAGCAGTGTAATTATTATTAAAGTATAATGTGCACTAAGCAAACAAACAATAAAACTTTCCCACAAAATACAAAAGTGTATTGGGAACTTGTGGGTAGATTAATAGTTTAAAAAGAAGTAATTATGTTGTGGTTTAATTGATAACTACTGTATTATTTGATGGTAATTGATTTTCTCGACACGCTCGAAACGTGCTTCCCTTTTCTTTTTCGAGGTATAAGTTATGCAATTTTTCATGCTCCTTGGTTGCAGAAAATTTCACTTATTAAAAACATTAATTGGTAAGCGAATCAGTTCATGTGAAATGTATTGGTTGATATCAATGTTCTTTAGTTTATTACCCCAAAGATGCAATGCTATAGCTTGCTTATTGGAATTTAAGCTCTGATAGATGGTATCAGTAAATAGTCTTGACAGTCTTCTTACTTTGTACTTTTTGGTCAATTCAAACGGTACACTAATGATTATGGTATCAAACTATCGACGCGCCTGTTGACAACACAATACTATTTTGCATCATGCCAACGGAAATTTCCAAAATAATGAACTGCATAGTAAAGTGTGCCTACAAATTTTGCATATCAAAGTGAAGCTCGTGAGTATTTCATAAAAAACTGATGTACTCTGCATTGCAGTTAGGGATGATTTGTGAGAGAACGGTAAAAACAAAATTTTGACATTTATGAATACAAACGTAAAGTAAAATCCATGTTTTGGTTTTGAAGCTTTTTCTCGTCAACAACTCAACAATACTCAATATAAATGATAACGATGGAAAGCTTTTCTTAGTTCCTAGTGCTTGCTTTAGAACACTTAAGCTGTTCTGTATGTTGTACTAGGAACTAAGAAAAGCTTTCCAATGAGATCAGTTATATTAAGTATTGTTGATTCGTTGACGAGAAATGGCTTCAAAACCAAAAAATGCATTTCAGGCATTTTCATTTTCATTTAAACGTACTTGCCATTTCTTCGAAGAATCATTCAATGTTGATAAGCTAATTCATACTTCGGTTTTCATCTTGGGAATTGACGATAAGTGAAAAGTTTTCCAAGTGTGAAAAAGTCATTAAATAATAATTTCTAAAAAGAGTCATGAGTGGAAATAGACAGCATGGAAATACACTTTTGTAATTTAATAATGCTAGCATGGGAATTCAAGTTTCTTTAAATGAAAATGCAACATGAAATGCAGTAAAATACAATGGGAAAAATAAATAATAATGGAATGTAAGGAAAGGAAAATTCTTTGAAATGAAAGCAAAATCGCATAACACGTTGTTTATGGCCATCATAAGTTCACATCTACAGAAGTAATGACTTTAATTATTGTGATAATGTGAGGAATGTTCACAATCGAAAGCTTTTAGAAAATCGTTGAAAGTCGATCGATTGCAGCACAAATCAAATTGTTTTAAAATTGAAAAGAAAATTGATATTTGATAGAGCACAAAAATTGCTTGAATATTATTCAAATTAAAATCAACTGTGTTTTGTGAGAGTAAATTTTGCACTTATTTCTTTTATTGCTGTTGAATTTTGTTGTCCTATTCGTGTATTTATGTATGCTGTACACGTTTGTGATGCAATTTTTTGCAGCAATAAAAAGAGGAGATTTATTTCACAAAAATTAGGCCAATTATTAATCTGATTCGGAATGAAAGAAGAAAAAAACGGTACGGTGTGCAGCAGAGAGTAAATAAAAATGAAGCAGTATTAATTTATTCTCTTTCATTAACCGTAGTGTTGCTCAACTATCTATCGAGAAGGTCGAATTTTCATTACTTGAGTCTTATAAAAACGGAATGAGAAAATGCGTAGCAAAATTTACCAGAAATTTCTTTTCATTTCTTCAATAACTTCTTATTAATTCCTTTTAATGGATTTTAATGCTTTTTTTTGCGAAATTAATGTTGAATATTAAGATCATTTTTGGCGCTGTCTGTATGTTCCATTTTACATTTATTAATGTCTGGATGTCAGATTATCGCGTTTTCTGAATGTTACACAATAATTTTAAATTATAGACTGTCTTAAATGGTAAAGCATGTCGCAAATTCTCAAGCTACTCTCAACTGGCATTTCTAAGCAATTTTCCGCGTCAGAGATTTTATTTTGAATAATGTGAAATTTCAGAAAAAATTACTGGTTTAGCTTGTCAATTATTACTTATTAAGTTACACACAAAAACTACTTTTTAGACCTCTCAGGTTGGCATCATGTCTCCTTATTCTAAAATATTTTTTTAAAAAAAAAGAACCAATGTCTAATGCTTTACTTTGTAATGCATTTCATTATAATTAGTGGTTTAACTGGATTTAATTTTCTAAAATCGTTTGAAAGCTGTCGAAATTGTTTTTCTGAAAACTTCTCGAAAATTGATTAATGCTGATATTATTTGAATTTAATTCGTCATGTCTTTATTCATTAATAGAGCATAAAGATTTCCTAAAAGCCATTAACCTAAAAATTATTTATTTATTGAAAAAAGCACCATGACCTTTCCATTTTTCTTCATCATCGAGTAACGAAAAAACAAACAAACATAATGAGCATAATGAATGAGATTGATGCCATTACTTGCCTATTGACAGTGAAAGTTATTCATAGTATTTCAATGTCATGTATGTTTTCTATATATAGACTTTTTATCTCAGCTACTGTATTCAATGATAGACTTTTTATCTCAGCTACTGTATTCAATGAATTTACATATCTGGATCTTTTATATGAAATAATATTGTTATGGATAATAATGATCACATTATGCTTATTAGATCATCTACTATAATTATCTTTACGACAGTGAGTGCGAGATCGCTAGACTGTGATAAACATGAAATGGCATATAATTATTAATGATTTTAACTCGATTATCGTTACAGTTGATGAATTGGTTAAGAAATGGTCACCGCTTGTGTGGCTTGCACCGAACGAGAAATTTCTTCCAGGCAATGTCAAGACATTTTTGTCAAATGTTCATGCGGAACGAGAAAAGCTGAGCTCACAAAAAATTAAAGATATTGGAGATAATTTAAGTAAATATAGTCATTATTATGAAGATCTTGTGTATTATGAAGGAACCGATGCAAAATCCAACTCGGCTGTCCTGAATAATCGAAAGCGAAGAAATTTCGATAAAGATACATCACTAGAATATATTTTTGAACTGCCAATTGATGATGCTTCTGAAAATTGGTTCTTAGTTACAAACGAGGAAATAGGTAAATTTATGCATTAATCTTTGACATTATTCAGATTCACTTAAATCAATATGTTTTGCAGATAATTTAATGCAAAATAAATCGTCGTTTATTTATGGAGAAAATCCGACTTCGGTTCCAATTTATGCAGTAGTTAGTATGTGTTCGTCTGATAAAGACTTTAACTTCAAAAATGGTAATGCATGAAATAAAATGAAAATTATTGTTTCCTCATTGATATTTTCAATTACTTTACTCAAATTAAACAGAAATAGATAATGGAAATAAATGGAAGAAAAATCCATACATTCCTCTCTCAAAGACCCCTGATATTGTTGAATATAATTCACATCATATGTTGCCAAATAAACCATCCGTTGAAGATTTTCGACCATTAGACGAAATAGATAAGACATCATTGAATGAAATTGATACTGACAAATTTTCAGTCCAACAATACCTAAGACGAAAGAGATCCGAAGATATCAACAATGTAAATGAATCAAAAATTGATAATGATGGCAATGTTAATAATTCAAGTGAAAATTCATGGAAAGCAATTCCGAGCGTTGTTATTTATACAAAAGATGAACAAATAGTGATTCCAACATCATCACAAAAAGAAGATTCACAAACAATGACAGCTAATCCAAGTTTACCACATTTTCAAGTTTCATATTGGATGTTTTATCCATTTAGTCAAGGTAAAACTATTTGCACTCTCAATTTGGGTCCTCTTGGTCCGATTCCAATTCCATTAATATGGAACGTTTGTTTGGGAACAAGAAAAGAATTTGGATCACATGTTGGCGATTGGGAGCATGTCAGCATAGTGTTTCGTGGAAAAATGGAACCAGATGTAAGCTTAAGCTTTTCATGGATTAGTTTTCTTTATTATTAATCTCTATTCTTTTTACAGGAGATGTATGTGTCAGCACACGATGCAGGAGCTTATTACACTTATGATAAGCTTACTGGCACATTTGAGTATAAAAGTCAAGAAACGCGAAAAGGAATTTTACAGCATCCCGTATTTCCAAAAACAGTTATTACTTCGGATAATCATCCAGTATTATTTGCGGCTGAAGGAAGTCATGGGTTGTGGGCTAGTCCAGGGAAACATAGGTTTGTTCGTGTCCCTAGACTTTACGACATAAATGGTTTTGGGCAACCCTGGCAAACGTGGAATAATGTTGAAGTGATTTACAATGATGCAAAAAGTAAGAAAGTTTCCAAAAAGGCTCTAATTAAAGTCAGGTTAAAGTATGACAATTTATTTTTTTTCACAGCAAAACGATCACTCAATCCAAATTGGATGAAATATCGAGGTAAATGGGGCAATCCGAAGAGTAAATGTCATCCATTAAAAAGAATAGGATTACATGTTTGCGAGCAGACCGATGGTCCAACTGGTGTCCCGAAAAAAGAATCACACTGGACATGTTCTGCTAATTAAAATTAAACAAAATCAGTACTGATTCTTAAAAAAAATTATAAAAGTCAACGTTTCTGTATATAGACGCTTTAAACTATTCCTTAATTTATTGTTTTCCAACATCATCCTTAACAGACAAAGAACATATTCTGAGCATAACAACCAAAAGTGATCCAAGATACATCAAAAAGTATCGTCTTGAGAGCATGCTTAATTTAACTTTTAAGATGCTATGAAAGTACGTTAAAACACATTCATTCAAAACAAGAGCATGCTCATTGCCTGGTAATGCACTCTGTAGCTGTTCACTGCTCCATTTTATTTTAATACATTTAATGACTAGAAAATACTTGTGAACTGTTATTTTTGTTATTTATTTCTATCAAATTGAAATAAACTTTATAATTACAAATTAACTATTGATTTCTTCTTATTTTATTGAGTTTACAGCATTGATTAGTGAAATTAAGTAAATTTCCAGTATTTTTAAATTTTAAATTTGTGTTTCGAAAATAAAGGGGTAGGAATAATTTTCGAATTGAAACTACAATTTCGTACCCCTGGTTATAAGTTTTGTAAATTCTGCAAATCATCGTCAAGATATTTTAAAATAATTAAGGAAATACAATCGATAGTAGTGAAATAATATAATGGCAGGTACACTTGAAGATAAATCTATCTGGGAAGATGAAGAATTGCTTGGTGAAGAAGTTTTAAGGATGCCAACAGATGAAATCCAAAATCGAACTCGATTAATGGACAATGAAATTAAAATAATGAAATCGGAAGTCATGCGAATAACACATGAATTACAAGCTCAGAATGAGAAGATTAAGGATAATACTGAGAAGATTAAAGTGAATAAAACACTTCCATATTTAGTATCGAATGTAATTGAATTATTAGATATTGATCCACAAGAAGAAGAAGACGATGGAGCAGTAAATTTGCTGGATTCACAGCGCAAAGGTAAATGTGCAGTAATAAAGACGTCTACACGTCAAACTTACTTTTTACCAGTCATTGGTTTGGTCGATTCTGAAAAATTAAAGCCTGGAGATCTTGTTGGTGTGAATAAAGATTCCTACTTGATTCTCGAGACACTTCCAGCAGAATATGATGCTCGTGTCAAAGCTATGGAAGTTGATGAACGTCCAACTGAACAATATTCAGACATAGGAGGTTTAGATAAGCAAATTCAAGAGTTGATTGAAGCTGTTGTCTTACCAATGACTCACAAAGACAAGTTTAAGAATCTTGGAATTCATCCACCAAAAGGAGTATTGCTTTACGGACCACCTGGAACTGGCAAGACATTGTTAGCAAGAGTAAGCAGCATAGTTTTATTATCCAAAACCTTTTTTTTTAACATTATTATTGACAAATTTTAGGCTTGTGCAGCACAAACCAAGTCAACATTCTTGAAATTAGCTGGTCCACAATTAGTTCAGATGTTTATTGGTGACGGAGCTAAATTAGTTCGTGATGCTTTTGCGCTAGCCAAGGAAAAAGCACCTGCAATTATTTTCATTGATGAGTTGGATGCTATAGGAACAAAACGTTTTGATTCAGAAAAGGCTGGTGATCGTGAAGTTCAACGTACTATGTTGGAACTGCTTAATCAATTAGATGGCTTTAGTTCAACAGCCGATATTAAAGTTATTGCAGCCACAAATCGTGTTGATATCCTTGATCCTGCTCTTCTTAGATCAGGTCGATTAGATCGTAAAATTGAATTCCCACATCCAAATGAAGAAGCTCGTGCACGTATTATGCAAATTCATTCACGTAAAATGAACGTAAGTCCTGATGTCAACTTTGAGGAATTGGCAAGAACGACTGATGATTTCAATGGAGCACAATGTAAAGCCGTTTGTGTTGAAGCTGGTATGATTGCATTAAGACGATCTGCAAGTAGCGTAACACATGAAGATTTCATGGATGCTATTATGGAAGTGCAAGCAAAGAAGAAGGCAAACTTGAACTACTATGCATAAAACTATAATTATCATTTTGTATCAGATTACACACTATTAATTTTTTTTGAGATAATAAATTTAACGATCATTTAGAATTTAAATCTTTCGAAATTCTGCTAATAAGGGGTGTGAAAATAGTTTTGTTTGTTTACTAATATTGCTGAAATATTCTCTGGAATTTAAACGATTACAAATTAAATATGGCACCAAGTCGATCAATTAGTCCAAAAAGACGCCGAAGATCAAGAAGTTATGAAAAGATGTCGATATCATGCAGTAGATCACGTTCATTGAGTAAAAGCAGAAATTACACAAAAACATCAAAAAACCATTCAAAATCACGAGACAGAGATGGATATAAAAGAAGAGATCACTCAAGATCATATAATAGACGTAATTCGAGACATCGCTCCAAAGATAGAAAGGAAAATTCTAGAGATCCAGATCCAGCAGATAATAATAGAAATGTAAGACGTCGATCCAGAGATGATTATTCAAAAAGCAGAAAAAGAAATTCAGAGGATAAACGTCGTTCAAGATCCAGAAATCGATCAAATTCCAGACATAGAGATAGACGACGTCATTCAGATGAAAGAGGTAGACGAAAACGAAGATCCAGTAGTTCAAACGGAGAAGAAATTGAACGAGATGAGAAGAATTCACGTAAATGGAAGCATGATATGTATATTGAGAATCCAGCACCAAGAAGTAGACATGGCTTAGGATTTAAAAAGCACAAAAATGAAGACAGTCAAGTTCAAAAAAGGGAAGAATTCCTACAATCAAGACGATTAGAGCGTGAAATAATTGGGGAAGAAGGAATTAGTGTTGTATGGGGTAAATCACCGCAAAAGGATATTGATGATGAGTCTGACAGCGATAAAAGTGACAAGAAGAAAAAGCGCAAAAAAGATTCCAAAAAATCAAAAAAGAAGCACAGCAAGAGCAAAAAGAAAAAGTCAAAGAAAAAGAAGGCAAAGAAACATAGAGATTCAAGCTCGTCTGAAGACAGCAGTGGCGAGGATAGTGAGGAAAAATGGGTAGAGAAAAATGCAGATAGAAAGGAGTCAGGTAGACATAAATCCTACAAATCAGATGAGGATGATGATGACTTTGTTGGTCCTGTAAATAAAAACTCTACTGGATTGAATCAAAAAGATTTCGGACGAGCTCTTTTGCCTGGTGAAGGTGCAGCTATGGCATCATACGTTTTAGATGGTAAAAGAATTCCCAGAAGAGGTGAAATTGGCTTAACTTCTGATGAAATTGAAAGCTTTGAAAAGGTCGGATATGTTATGAGTGGTTCCAGGCATCGTAGAATGGAAGCAGTTCGTATCAGAAAGGAAAATCAAATTTATTCAGCTGACGAAAAGCGTGCTCTGGCAATGTTCAGTCGAGAGGAACGTCAAAAACGAGAAAATAAGATTTTATCTCAGTTTAAGGAGATGATAACTGCAAAAACATCTAGTGCAAATAAAAAGTAACAGTTATGTTAATTTTAAATTGATTCAATGTCAATTAATTTGCATTTTTTTTTGAAGAATAAATTTAAATCATTAAAACACGTTAAAAATTGAAAAATTCGTTTGATAATAAAATTCATCTCAATTTATTGAACGTAAAACAATTAATAGACATTTGTGTGTATGTGGTTTTTAATAAAAACAAAAAATAATTAATGAACAATTTTTTTTAAATATCAATTTGTTTTTTTAAATGTTGGAAGCTTTATCGTTCTCATTTTCGCCGAGCAAGTACCATGACATTCGAGCACTAACAGCTGCCGCTCTTACTAGTCGTTTTGGATCATCAAGAGCCGGGATTAAATCATGGGTAACGTCATTTTTGTATGGCACGAGAGTAAACAATGGAAATTTGGTCAAATGTTCTAAGCACTTACAAGCCATTATGCGAATATCCATTAAATGTTTGAACTGTGATAACTTGAGAAATTCCTTGACTAAACGTTGTAGATTAGTTAAAATAAATTGGTGCTTATCGCTAATGAAATTATTAATTATTTTTAAGCTTAAAAGAACTCGTTTGGGATGTGGACTGTTATCATCGGAACCAGTTTCAATGCACTTGAATAAAATTGGTCCAATTTTGTCGATATTCATCTTCAAGACCTGATGAGGCGTGATTTGTAGGATATTAGCCATAGCTGTTAAATGATGTTCACTAAACTTTTCAATTTTTCCATCCAAAAATTTCATGGCAAGCACAAAAATTTTTTGCTTAAAAAGATGCTTCAAGAGTGGCAAATGTAGATTTGGGAATTCCAATGAAATAATCTCAAATGCAAGTTCTGCTGATTTTGATAATTTTGGATGATCCAGTAATTCCGATAATGTTTCCAATATTTCTGCAGCATCTGGATGACCACGAGCAAGTAATCCCTTACTTATCCAACCAAGAATAATAACTGCATGATGATTTTGCTTTTTAATCTCATCCTTTAAAATATCGTAAATCTTACTCAATATCTTCTTATGCTTATCATCTACTGGCGCACGATTAAACAAACTACAAAGTAGCTGATTTGCAATCTTTCTTGCATTCTCATCATGAGTTGTTAATGATAAATTCGTTAGTTCATTGACTAATTGCTCAAAGTGATTCTCTACAGGAATCGCGGCATCAAGAAAGGCCATAATTCCTGAGGTTATATATAAATCGGAAATGGATGATTCAAGCTTCATACGAGGTAGATATTTTTCAACTAATTCCATTTGTTGATCATTCGGCAATAAACGAATTACAAGACTCATTATTAATGATGCCCGATACATAACTTCTTGGTCCTTTTCAATATTCAGGTTCTTAATCAAATCAATTAGCTTGACTACAATTCTCCATTCACCGTACAAGATTTTAGCTATTTCTGGCGACTTGGAAGAATTCAAAATTTCACGAAGAATGTCAAGAACGACAAGCTGAATAACTGACAAGTGATTGTTGAAGAGATTAATGCACAAAACTTCAATGATATGTTCACGAAGTTCAGGGACAATAAGAAGCGGTGAAAGTGTCTTGAAAATATTTTTGGCAAACTCTTCATTGTCATATTTTTTTGAGAAATGCTCTTCAAGCACCAATTTATGAATCTCATGTGGATAGACTTTTGCTAACTCTAATAAGCATTCAGCTTCTTCGGTCGATGACTTTGTTAAATTAGCATTTAATTTAGAGTAAATGATTTGACGATTTTCGTCACTTAATATTGGTGTTATGCGGGTCATTATTTTCCATGATATTTTCGACAAGTCTGAATCGTACGTAATCAAAATTTTAATCAACTCTCTTTGTATGCTGATCATGTAATTGTCATTTTTATATTCACCAAGTTTATTCATATCGACCATGATACATACGAATTTATGGAAGTCCTCTAAGATGTCACATTTCTCTGAATCAGCAATCTCCTCATTTGTCGTCATTTCAGTAAGAGTGATTGGAAGAACTTTATTCATGACATACAAGCATGAATTATCAGATGCTTCAGCACATTTAATGACTAGCTCTAAAGTCGGTTTAAATAAACTCGAATCACGATTTAGCAATGTCCCAATCGCATTTGTAAAGATTTTATTCAGAATAATCTCAAAGTGAGCTTCATCATTATTGATTGCTTTCAGAATATCGGATATCACGCAAAGTGCTTTTGCACGTATCTCTTTGTTATTTGATCCTGGCAATAGTTCTTTCTTTATGGCTTGCCAAACATCATCGAAATTCTCCAAAACACTCTTCACCTCAAACGTTGAAGACGCGTGCGACTAAAAATTTAAACAAGTTGTTAAACATGCAGTAAATTATCGTTATCAGATAATTATTGTATTCCTTATTTTCTACCGAATCAGTAAAGTCATAAAAATTAATTACGCTTAAAAAATAACAATGAAATTCTTACAGTTTCGGTCAATGAAAATAATTATTGTTCTCTAGCATGAATGATTTTTATCGAATCTAAACGGACTCAAGGTCACACACATACTCGATTTATTTATTTTAAACAATTCTTAATGATCAATTTATTTTAATCGACGGATTAAAAATCCCAACCGTTATGTTTCCAAAAATATTAAATTCATTGAAGTTTAGAGAAGCAACTAAATCAGTTTTTTGCATAATATTTATGAGACTTGATACATGATTAGATGTAGCATTATGAGCGATATGAAGAGGATAGATAAGGAAACTAGTTTCATGATAAATGTGTCAAAATGTATATTTGTTGTTCAAAACCAAAAAAATTAATTATGTACATACCAACAAGCTGAGTGAGTCAAGTTTTGCGACAGTCAGGTCACTTTCGAGCTTCTCAAGTGCTAACGGATAGCAGAATTGAGCAAAATCTTTGGATGCGCATAAGCAAAGCTTTAGTTTTTCAGCCAAAAAATCTCGAGTGATGGCTTTAGGATCATTTGGTGATGGATGAAAGTCAATCGGAAAGTAGCACGAAAAGACTTCAAACATTTCCTCATTTAAATGACGCAATTCATACGTGTTTATAAAGCGAGGCATGAATTCGAATAGAAATAATAAATTTCTTGGATCACGTTCACCGTCGATTGCTTGAATTACTCCATAGATGAAATCAGTTCCCATCGTCTCAAGTTCTTGTTGGAAGTTGTCAGACGCATATTGTAGGATAGAAAAGATATTTGATCTGTCGTTCCTTGTTTGATTTTGGCATAATATTTGAGCAAACATTTGTTGAAGAATTTGAATGATGCTTGAATGTGGAAAGTTCTTCATTTGAATTAACGCTAACAGTCCATTAATAACTTGAGGCGTAATTGAATGATGATCTTTCATTCTATCCACATAAAATTTTGAAATAAATTCGAATTGAGCTGTATTAAGGAAATCATTTGGGATATTTTTCAATAAATCCGATAGAAATTTCATTCCTTTTAATCTGATGTCTGCGTCTTTGTGTGTTAATGCTGGTCCCAATTCCTCAATGACAACACTTATATCCCCTCCTTTTTTTACGAGTGCTGTAAGCGAAATACAAAGAAATTAAAATAAATAATACTGCGTGCAATATTATTTTTGCAATCAAAACCTACATTTGGCTACATGTTGTAGCTTTTCATCTACTTTATTGTCATCCTTTAGCACGTCCACAATCGATGTAGTCCATGGAAATTTCATGGTAATTCTGTTTGGTTAAATTGACTGAATTTTTAAAGATTTTTTTATCGAGATAATTCTTATTTTTAATTTCCCTTGTAAAAAATTACGATAACTTCACTTATATGCCTAATGAACACAAAATATGCACTATGCCTGCATATAACTAGCTAATCAAGCTAAATTGACACTCTAGTTAACGATATTAAGCTGTATTTGATGAATTAACTTAAAACAATCACGTGCGAATGAAAATCTTTTTAGTAAACACGAATGAACTGAAAATTCAACGCATGCTTATTAATATTTACATTGACTATCGTGTCTGACTATTACTATGAATCTATGCCGAATGCGCTCTGAGCAATAAACTATAAATTCTGAATAAGAAACTTTTCGCTGGTTCAAAAATATAAAAACCGTTATGTTTTGGTTACATAGTTTTTATTTAACATTCATAAAATTGATAAGTATTATCTCAGCTTCATTATTATCAAAATTAATAAATTTATGTTCACAACATTTTTTATAGAGTATTTTTTGCTATTGAGCAAATAGTTATAAAATTGAAATATTATCATGTAACAAGTCGTTCACTTATGAAGTCCAATATTAAGGGGAGGGGATCTTAAAATTTGTAACACACTTTGTGGAGGTGGGAGGGGGGGGGGGGGGGGGTTGGGATCTGCAACAGTTTCGTAAAAGAGAAGTGGGAGGGAGGGGGGTCTGAATATTATGTTTTTGACGGAAGTCATAAGTGAACAAACCTTTAACTTGTTCACCTTTTTATAAGGTTTTGAATGAAGGCATGTTAGCAAATTTATGTACCTTTAATATTAAAATCCTTTTAAAACTTAATTAAATTCTCTCGTTGTCATTAATATAAATTCATTTTTCATTATTTTACGACTAGAAAATTTTAAATCCTTAAGTTTAACATAAACTAAATTGATAAATTGAATTTTGTTTAAAGGTTTGATATTTAAGGACGGACATATAATGTGAAATGGAATAAATTTCACAACATTACGAGAAGATTTAAATGACTTTAATATTCATCCTTTAATCTAAAGATTGATAGTATCTAAATCGGACAGTGGTGCTCTCGGACTCAAATCACTATTGGCTGATGAGCTACTCGGTATAATTTTTCCCAATTTCAACATACCATTTTGATGGTCCATCGAATGATGCTTTTTGTTACTACCTGGTCCAAGCGGATATGCTTGAAGATCGTGTGGAAGTTTTCGCATAATTTTACCCGACGTGATAAGTCGGCCGAATCCTTCCTGAAAATCGAAATTTTTCAATTTGTCATTAACTTGACATGAGACATGTAGATCAAAAGACAACTAACCTCATGAGCGAATGCATAAGATGACCTCAATGACCTTCTCGATCGTCTTGCAGAAGCAGTTCGTGCAATAATAGGCTTTGATTTAATATGTTTCATTTCGCGTTGTTTTAAGCGTATTTTATCAGCCAAACTAGGATTACATGTGATATTATAAAATCTCCATGCAAGTAATGGTACCATCAAAATGATGACAGTGAGCAATGTCGTAAGCCAGAATGTAGATTCATAAATAGCTTTGGCAAGTGAGCCAACATATGGGCCCCGGATTATATAATTATAAAAATTGTCAAGTATAAAATAACATAAAAGACTTCCCCAAATCATCACATGGTTAAACATGGTCCAATAACCAGTATCTAGAGCAATCTGGAATTTATTTCATTATTATGAGTAAAGTTCAATGACATATGATTACTTACTTGAGCAGTATTATCTAGAATGAGAATTGTAGCTACTACAGTTCCAAGTAGCATATGATCGCTTAAGACATAACCGTTATACGATATTCTATCACCATAAGTTCCTATAAAGACATCAATTAATTAATTATTTAAATCAGGAGCTAATTAAAGACATTCTTACCATAAGGAATTAAGAATAAGATTAGAGAACTAAAAACACCATGTACAACACTTTTAACAAATTCCTGTGTATTGAAGAGAGCATTTGTTAAGCCTGGTGCATAAAGCTTGGGAAATTCTATGCTATGTTTATCAGATACATCTTGCTCGAAAATTCCCAGAGCCAATACCGGTAAAGATGTATAAAATAAATTATAAACTGATATAAACATTGGATCGAAGACGGTCTGGAAATATAAATAAGAATAAAGCTTCATAACTTATATAAATTAATATGTAAACATACCTGAGCACTAAATCCACAGAAGAATGCGAACCAGAAGTGGCACAATGTAAATGCAAAATTTTTATAGAAAAAGTATCTCAAAAATTTGCACATTCGGTAGTAACTCCAACGTCCATGGACTAATAAGAGTCTCTCAAGAAATCTGAATTGAGCTATTGAATAATCGCTTGCAAGAACAGCTTGAAGGCCTTCTTGTCCTGATATTCCTACACCTATTGTAATATATATGAGAATAGGATTCATAAATTATATGAAAAATTAATTTTTTTTACCTATATGAGCTTCTTTTATCATTGATACATCGTTTGCTCCATCACCGATGGCAAGTGTTACTGCATTTTTACTTCTTTTCATTAGAGCTACTACTAGAGCTTTTTGCAAAGGAGTCACACGACAGCAGATAACAGCTTTACATTGTGATGCTATTTCTAAGAACTTTTGCTCCAAGTCGATCGAAAGACAGTGGACTAGAGAATGTCCATTCACAACAATAGCAAAACCTGCACCTTCCTCATTATCAGGTGGTGTTGGTATTGACGACTGACCAGCATTCGGTTGATTGTCCTCAAATATATTATTTGCTTCAGAACTACAGAAAAAAAATGTCGTCAACATTGATTTAAGTTATTCATGTGTGCAAAGCAGTACCTAAATGTGACTATAGATATTGCTGGTGGAGTTTTCATTTTAATATCGAAATCTTGATCTCTTTTTAGAAATCCATTGGCATTAACACTTTGTACACCAGGTGGATGAAAGGTATTAACTATTTTAATAGATTCTTTGTACTTCCTTAATTGCTGTTCAACTTCCGTTTTTGTGATACCATCAACGATGAAAACGTCCAGCATATCATCGGTCAATAATTGACATGAATATCCAATATTAATTGCTGTTTCTTGTTTATCTCCAGTGAGAACCCATACTTTTATGCCTGCCAATTGAAGATTTGCAATAGCTTCAGGAACACCATCCTATATTGTATTAATAATGATTATTAGACTACAAAAAATGATTTGAATGACATATAGCTCATACCTGTAATTTATCCTCAATAGCAGTTACACCTATCAACTTCATATCACTTTCAATTTCTTCATAAACATATTCTAGCTTCTCTTCACGTGACGATGAAGCTAGTGATGCTTCTGTATATTTTTTCTTCCATCGGCTATAAAACACTTCATCAATTTTACGCTCAGCTAAGACAAGTGTTCTTAACCCTTCTCCAGCAAATTTCTAGAATTTAAAAGGTAGCTTAAACTTATGTTTAATGCGGAAGTAAACTTTAGTAATCCTACATTTAAATGTTCCTGAGTTCTATGTTTAATATCCATTTGATTAAGTCCTAGTCTCTCATATATCACATTGTCTGCTCCTTTGCAATAAAGAAATATCCTATTATGTCGTTTAAGGATTACTGTCATTCTTTTCCGAGTATTATTAAAGTCTATAATATGTAATAACTCATATTCTTCAGTACTTCCATTAACTTCTATAGTAATACTATTTGGTGTCCGTGCCTTAAACACAAAACCAAAATTACGAGCAGCTGATACCAAAGCAGCTTCGTCAGGACTCTGAGCCTGATATTCCAATTTTCCTTCTTTATATTCAGGCATTACTGTATGGCACAAAGCGAGGAGTCGAAAGAAATTGTGAGCATGTGTTTCATCTGCACGGACTGCATTCAAAAGTTCTCTATCGAACCACTTAAAGTCTGCTTCATAATACGGATTGAATGAAAAATCAATCGGCTTTGTATCCTGAAACATAAATTTGGGAGAAGATCTTGCATAACTTTATCCTATTATGTGTTTTTTTTTTGTTTTAATTTCTATCAAGGTGTGTAGGTTAAAAGTATAAAATCAAGTTTCAAAAATTAATTGTGCATGAAAATAAAAATCTAAACTGCATTTTCAAGAAATTCAATAAAAAATGAGGAATTATGAAAAGGTTTAAAAACATCACCAAAATGTTAAATATCGTACATGCTCAAAATATCCATCTTTGTATTCATATTTCTCATGAGATGATTTACTAATGATTGATTCTTCTGACTCCGCCAATGCAACAGATGACTTTACATTATCCTTTCCATTTCCCATATCAGAGACAAATCTTACAGTTTGATGATGCTTTTTATGATCCCCATTAGTTAAAATGATATTATTAGTATTATTAAGTATTTCATGCATTTCACTTGCTGCTATATTATAATCGAAACTTGACAATGTTGTTGTCATATGTGAAGAGCTATATCCAATTGAATGTAGGTCAGTTGAATGCAATAATGATGAATTGCTTGAATTCAAACGTGAATGCTGCAGAAGAAGTTTTAAGGGGAATTGGATGGGTTTTTATGTTGAAATATTTACATTTAAATTGCGACGACAAAAACACAACGGAACTATGCATTTTTTTTCTTTTGAAACAGTCTAACAATTGTATTCACTGTCATATTGATAATATTGATAGAGTTCACCACATGCAGTGATTATGAATGTTAAATAATCAATATAGGAACAAAATGCACTATGGGCCAGAAATCGAAAACTTTTCCGAAAATTATTTTTTTGGTCTAAATGATAGCTCTTTTATTCCCATTTATGAAAATACTTACAAAAGTGGCCAATTCAGCCTAAGTTCCGAGTTATGTCTTTTCAAATTTTTGATTAAGAGCATTTTCTCGCCCCACAAAAATTGTCACTACTTTTCATTAGATTGATGAAACTCTTTCAATTTTTTTTTATTTGGTAGCTTAAAATAAGAGCTTTGTTTTAGAACAGTAAACATCTAAGTATGCATCTTTTAACTTTATGAATTTTAAGGTTTTTCAAAAAAGCACGTGTTCAGTATGATTATGTTCGTCTAGGACTTCACTCTTAAAATAAATGATGCTGAATCTTTTTTTATATTGTAGATATAAACAAGATCTATAACTTTTATTAAGATACTATAAAGTTTTAGTAGAGTTTTGCTGATGAAATTAAGTCTTTACTTCAAAAAAACTGCAATTTTTTGACATAAATTCCCATAACTTTTCAGGATAGCCCAAAGGATTGGATTTTTTTTACATGCTTTGAAAGCTCTTTAGATATACTATCAGAATATACAATCAGCTTGAGTTCGGTTACTGAGACAATCTCGAGCAATTTGACCAGTTTGAGCAGAAATACATTTCAAAACATAAAAATTGAAAATAAATTTTGTACGTTTTTCAAAATTTTAGTTTTTTGCTTTAGATCAATAGATCTCATCAAGGCGCATATTTTGAGTATAAATATGTCATAGTTTGAACAATTTTTATACTCAAATTTCAACAAAATCATTTTTATATATTTTTTCAACAAATTTTACTTATTTTTCAATTATTTTAAATCAAAACTTATTTTAAATCTTCTGATTTTGATATTTTTTGAAATTTCTATGTTTTTATGTTAAAATGTCACTCCTAGAGCAACAATTCATAAAAACTTTTTACTTTAAGGTAATTTTTTTATAATTTTTTGCAAATTACAAACATTTTTCTTATCTTTTTTTATCAAATTTTATTTTATAATAATTCTAAATATTGAAATTTAATGTAATATGCATAAAAATATACTTAAATATTAAAAGATCATATTTTATCCAATTAACGTAGGAATAAAGCTGGAATGAGCAAAGCTTTGATATGTTCCTTTAATCTGAAGGTAATTCTCCTTTCGATTCAGAACATATAAGCATCCAATCAACTATTTTTAATAAATTTCGGTATACATACTTATTTCCATGCAATTGTAAAGCATAAACTATCACCTGAAACTTGTTTTTGCTGACCCATGTCACTATTTCAAAGATGTCTTATTTTATTGCCTTCCAGGTCCGGAAGTTGAAAGCTCAATATTTATAATCTGACTGGACTCACTAATGGTGACTGGAATTTACCAGTATGAAATATATAAAGTATATATATACAAAAGTTTGAAAAGTTTGCATCGTTTCGAAATTTATCAAAACTAAATGATGGTTCTTGAATCTATTTTTGTCTATGTATAAGGATTTAAGTGCCTCGCTGGTCAAATAAGTAAAGCGATTGGCTCAAATTTGGTATGGTAACTCGAAGGTCGTCGGTTCCAATCCAGCCATTTCCAAATTTGTTCTTTTTCAGAAGTTTAGATACTTCGACTGCTTAATGTACGAGATCTATCCATGAGATATTTGGCAACGTTGGATTAAGGAACGGATGAGGAATTTTAAGTGTAGCGGGAGAAATAGGAACGAGAGCTACAAGATTACCTTATAATGATAAATTGTCAGAACGGATCTGAAATGTATCACGTTGCGCACACAGATCAGTAAAAAAAGTATATGCAAAGACAAAAATTGGAAAAATCAATGAAATATGGTAAAAAAACTAAAAGGAACCATTTAACATTGGATAAAAATTGTCACAATAAATTTGATAGATTGGAAAATGGTTGAAAGCGTTTTCCTGTTTAAAAACTATTTTCATTATAGGCCTTAATTTTAATAATTCGTGGTGATAGTTTATGCTTTACAATTGCATGGAAATAAGTATGTATACCGAAATTTATTAAAAATAGTTGATTGGATGCTTATATGTTCTGAATCGAAAGGAGAATTACCTTCAGATTAAAGAAACATATCAAAGCTTTGCTCATTTCAGCTTTATTCCTACGTTAATTGGATAAAATATGATCTTTAAATATTTAAGAGTATTTTTATGCATATTACATTAAATTTCAATATTTAGAATTATTATAAAATAAAATTTGATAAAAAAAGATAAGAAAAATGAGTGTAATTTGCAAAAAATTATAAAAAAATTACCTTAAAGTAAAAAAAAATTATGAATTGTTGCTCTAGGAGTGACATTTTAACATAAAAACATAGAAATTTCAAAAAATATCAAAATCAGAAGATTTAAAATAAGTTTTGATTTAAAATAATTGAAAAATAAGTAAAATTTGTTGAAAAAATATATAAAAATGATTTTGTTGAAATTTGAGTATAAAAATTGTTCAAACTATGACATTTATACTCAAAATATGCGCCTTGATGAGATCTATTGATCTAAAGCAAAATTTATTTTCAATTTTATGTTTTGAAATGTATTTCTTGTCACACTTCAAAGTCAAATTGCTCGAGATTGTCTCAGTAACCGAACTCAAGCGGATTGTATATTCTGATAGAATATTCAAAGAGCTTTCAAAGCATATAAAAAAATTTCACTCTTTTGGGCTATCCTGAAAAGTTATGGGAATTTATGTCAAAAAATTGCAGTTTTTTTGAAGTAAAGACTTAATTTCATCAGCAAAACTCTACTAAAACTTTATAGTATCTTAATAAAAGTTGTAGATCTTGTTTATATATTCAATATAAAAAAAGATTCAGCATCATTTATTTTAAGAGTGAAGTCCTGGACGAACGTAAGCATACTGAACACGTGATTTTTTGAAAAAACCTTAAAATTCATAAAGTTAAAAGATGCATCCTTAAATGTTTACTGTTCTAAAACAAAGCTCTTATTTTAAGCTACCAAATAAAAAAAAATTGAAAGAGTTTCATCAATCTAATGAAAAGTAGTGACAATTTTTGTGGGGCGAGAAAATGCTCTTAATCAAAAATTTGAAAAGCCATAACTCGGAACTTAGGCTTAATTGGCCACTTTTGTAAGTATTTTCATAAATGGGAATAAAAGAGCTATCATTTAGACCAAAAAAATAATTTTCGGAAAAGTTTTCGATTTCTGGCCCATAGTGAAATGATGGCCTACATTAATATCAATATGCCAGTGAATATCAGTCAAAAAATCTTAAATTCTCTAAATGAGTGCATGATGCAACAACTACGTTAGGATTAAAATTTTAAAAGCCAATTCTCAAAAAAAACTAATGAACATTAAGGAGATAATAAATGTGTTGATGTCATGTCTAAGTGTTGTTACTGTATTCTTTCTATTTCCATATATTTCACGTAAAAGCATAAATTGATTGACTTACTTCATTTATTTCAATGATATCTCCTGTCCTCAAGTCAATCACATCACCATATGCTCTTCCATTAATACTGCATTTATTGAATGTCATAATATTTTGAGTAAGCGTTCCTATTTAATAGAATATCAAATAGTAATTGTCATATTGTTATAAAATTCATACGTGCATACGTACCAGTTTTATCAGAAAATACATATTGAATCTGTCCCAACTCTTCATTTAATGTCGTAGTTCGCGCTTTCGCAAACGTTTTTGTCTTTTTGTGAAACATTTTCTCATCCCAATTGATTTGAAAACTTTGAGCAAATCGTATAACCTGTTGATTAGAACCACGAGATCCATTTAATAATTTTATATTCAAAGTCAACAATATGAAAATTCATGCGCTTACCTCTACAGAGACGTATAAAGATATCGGAACGACAGTATTTAAAACTATTGCGTATGAGAAAAATACTAATAATCCGATGATTGTTGATCCCTGAATGTGCTGTGGCACAATAAGTTTATCCCACGGTAAGTATGATTGAAAATAATATCCAATAAGTCCTTCCCAAATAGCCGCAGCAACTGTACAAAATCCACATATTGACAATAAAAAGAAGACAATCTGGAAGCAATGTTGAGTTTGTCTTGTAAATTATTAAGCACTTTCCCTTTTGTTTTTACACTCACCCCAATGATGATAAAGTTCAACAATTTGTCAATATTTGTTCGTTTGAATTTCGTTTTTCCTGAATTTTGCATGACCTTCGTGTCTTTTCCAGCAAAGATGACTAATCCGTAACACCATTGTGTACGCAACACGCAACCACGAAGCAAAAGTTTCTCATTGTCGAGTGAAAAGCGTTGATTTTTCCACATCAAAGTACCCTCAAATTTATTTAATAGATTATTAGGCGGCTCACATACAATTTCGCCATTAAATTCCCATAAGCGATCTTCATAGTCATTCATAATCGCAGTCTCGACAAGACATTGCTTTATTTTTAAATTTGTTTCGCCATCAAGCTCCGCTGTCTCAATAAAGCATAATCCATTTGGTTCACTTGATGTTAATATCAGGATGTCTGCAGCAACAAATTGATCATTTTCCATTCGAATAATGTCTCCAACCTATATTAATTTAGGGAGTACGAGAAAAAAAAACAACATGCACAGAAAGCGTATGCGGAAAAAATGAAGTGAATCGATTTTTATAGATCATTAAAGGAAAATGAGCATGATAATTTTTTTTGAACACATAATTGTAGTAAATGACGCACCTGAACACCAGACCACCTTTCATTGACCAATTTTCCATTTCGTAGGCATTTTGATATTCGGTTATTAACTTGTGAATCGGATATATGACGTTGGTAATCATCGTAGGCATCCTTTATGGCTGTTAAACTTAATACACCGATTAATGGTATTGCCGTTGTGACTGGTGTAAGTGATGATATTGCAGGAATGAGTTGTAGTATCAACAGACATAAGAAGTAAAAATTTGCTAGTCTTTGAAATTGTTCGAGTAAATTTAATGGGAGGAACGTTAAAAATGAGTATTTCGATGTTTTGATGTAATTATTCTGAAAGATAAATTATTAAATAGAAAATAATAGTGGCGTTATCCAATTCAATTTGTTCTACTCTTTTAACACTTACAGCATAGTGAAATTGTGAATTATATTCTCTATCATTAGCACGAATCCTACGCGCATTTTCTAAAAAGTTAAATAAAACAAACATAAATGATATAGCATAGCAATAACTATTGTTCCAACTAAGCATAACATATCATATTTCATGAGAAGAAAAGCTTCTTATTGATTGCTCTCATTTATAAATGAAACAAAAAGAGCTTATTCAAGTTCATTATAATGTGCTTTGCAAAATTTTACTATAGTCTTAATAGGGCCATCGGCAACAAGTTGATAGCGAGACAAAATGAATTAATGAAATGAAAATTAATTACCACCATGCAATGTACGATAAAGGAGGCTTGACACAGAATTTCTTGCTGTTCGGCGCTCGGAAGTAAAAAATTTAATATCGTTTGTGGATGATGGAGTTGTTTTATATAGGTCTTGGCTACGCCATATACCAATTTTTTCTAATACCGAAAAGAATGATGCACGAAAGCCAATCGTTGATGTTTGTGTGCTTATACTGCCATTGATTCCTGATTTATGATTTTCATCACCATCTATAGTATACTGTAGCTGCGATGTAGAATTATTGCAGGACATATTTGGACAGGCAGTAGTTTTTGTGTTTGTAAATTTTTCTTCAAATGATACATTTGGTACTGATTGTTGGTGAATTTGTGTATTATCATATTGTTTTAAAATCGATACTAAACTATGTAGGCTTGAACTTGAAGGCATTTTTGTATGTTTTTTGTTGTTTTTTCTATGACTACCGGATGAATTTCGGAAAATTTTCTTCTTTTGGCTATTTTCATCATCATCATTGAGATGTGATCTGGAAAGCTGTAATGACGGTGCTGACGACGAATTTTCATCGTCTTTCTCATTCGAATTTTTATTATCTTCCATATCATTTACTAGTACTACACTAAATGAATGTTTTTATTCAAATATAATAGCATATTTAATGTTGTGCACATTTCACATTGACTTATGAAACTTTATCATAGACTATCACTAAAGAAACAAATATTCATCAACATTTAAATTAATAAAAAAAAAGTCAAGGAATAGAAGCAAAGGAATTCAACCCTCTACAAAAATCATGGACTAAGGCTAATTAATTCAATTTTCTGTAAATTTTTAAAATTCATGTGAGTGTTCTTTGCATTTAATTATTATTTCTGTACACGGTTTTTAAAGTTCACGAATCTTGTACATATGAACTTGAATTATTGCATGACATATAATTGAACGAATCAGTACATACATAGTATGTAGAGAATTAATCACAGACGAGTGTATGTTATTATAGGTACAAGCTCTCACTAAACTCTTCTGTGTCATTATGGTTAGTATTCAAGGTAGTGTAGAAAGTGGACATGAAAAGTTATTGATATTTTCAAATTTAAAAAATAAAGCTTCTTAAAGACATTTTGCTAATAATCTGCAAGACTTTCGCGTTTCAAGAAATTGATACAAAAAAGCTCCTTGGAGCCATGTAAAAAGAAAATTATTTTGTCGTGATTTTTCTACATCGACAAGCTGAAATAATACATTAGAATTGATACTGACAGTGGAACATGAGAATTTCTATGTATCTTAATGTTCAGCATTTGGGTAATTTGACATTCTTTAAAGAATATGTTAGAACAATGCTTGAAAAATCTAGATGTACGTCACTTATGAGTAATTCTGTATTTTATTGCCATACATTACAATTATAATTAAAGCTACTGCAGAACAAATCAATACCGTCCATTATATTTCTATGATTAGTAAAGTAATCAATAAACCAATTTAGCTGCGACAAACAAAATTGTTTGTCATATTCTTTAAAAGTTGTGGAAAGGAAATCCAACAAAGTACTTCCCACATGAATTTTAAAGTAACTTCTTCCTTAAACATTTTCATATTTTTAAATGTTGACATTTGTTTAAATCTTGTTAATAAAAGTTTACACATTAAATTTCACAACAATTCAAACCATATAGAATTTATGATTCAGCACATAATGAAGTTTTATTGGTCTCACAATTTATCTTAGAAATCAACACAAATTAAAGAAAAACCAGAAGAAAATATTCATAAAAAATGTTTGAAAGATTCTACTTGATTGCTTCTCTCTGCTCAAATGTCTCACGTATACTAATATCCTTTTGGAAAATAATATGAAAAATATCTGTCGGTGGAAACGATTGGAAGGAAATACAGTGAGTTTTTTCTTTACAGTTATTTCCTTTCCACTCAAATTTGTAAACAAAAGCAAAGTCTCATATAAAATTTATGTCCGCGCACAATGAGGAATTTTCCAAGTCTAACATTCTGCAAGGCACATGTTCACATTGGTTGTAATTAACTTTTTAACTTGAACTTTTTTTTCTTTGTATTTTTTATATTCTTTCATTACGTATGATATATTAAGTACATAAAATAAAACAAATATAAAAGGTAAACTTACGTGGAATATCTTGCGTTTGGTTGTTTCTTCCCATAAACTGCATTGTACTTTATTTGTCTTCTTTGTTTATTTAGTAATTTTCATTTTTTCGTTTAAATTTTCTTGTTTTATATATTTAAAAAATGTATGGCATACTCTTAGAGATATATTGCTTATGTAAAGCTCTTTTTTTTCAAAAAAAAATGTTTTTTTATTCACTTAACTTCTAATCACAACTCTTATTATTATTATTTTTTGTCATTTTTACGACAATGAATGTTTGGTATGTTCTTGAAAGTTTTAAAAGTTCAATGTTCATTTTTTAAAAACTTAGCTTTGTATCTATCGTAATGCATTTCTGGATGATTTCTGTAAAAAAAAAAAACAATTTTTTTGTTATTTTGGAGGTTCAAATGATGATAACTTGGATCTAGCATATCATCAATATTTAAGAATAATGTTTTAAATGCATTCTTTAAAATCGTATACTATGTAAAATCTTCCTTTTAATTACCAAAGCAAAATATATATTGCCTTAATTTAAAACACAGATTCAGAATTCTGTATGCTAGAACGATTTCTATTTCCAAAAATCTTAACTCCATTTACAATGATAATCATTTGTATAATTTTTCTAATTTTCCTCAAAGTTTTTAGCGTAAACCATGTTGAAATTTGTGCGATCAAATGAAATGTAAATCATCTAAACTAAACCATTTATAGAAAAAATTTGTATGCAGTTCTTTGTAAAGCAGTTATTAAAACTTTTTTACTTCATTTTGGATTGTTCAAAATGAAAGTTTTCATCTTTTTAATTATTTGGACACAACTAATGATTAAAAAAGTTTCTGCGTACGAAAAGTCATTGAAAGTCCTTCAAAAATTGATTTTAAAATAAGTTGTTTTCAAATGTTGAAATTTGTGTGAAATTTTTTGACAAATTTTGAAATTTGTATGTTTTTTGTCGTAGAAAGTCATTGTTAGATTTTGTAAACAAAAATAATTATTTACAATCAAAATCGGGTTTTTAAAGGCATGAATCAAGATTAAGACAAAAATAACACGAAGAAGACATGAACTGAGAGTAATGAAAAATGTGTTCGACTTAAATATTCATACAGAATCAAGAAATTTCAAAAATGCAACCAACTTCAAAAAATATTACAAGAACAAAAAAGCATTCAATAACTACGTTCTGTTTTCAGTCCCAAATAGATGATACACAATAAACTTCGTTAAAATACTCTTCTTTCTTTTATTTCTCAAAACAATTTTGCAAAATTCTGTAAACTTTATCGTGAATAAATTTTGGAAAAAAAAACATTTGAAGGATGTGCTTGGTTTTAATGGTGCCTTCTCGTCTTACTCAGTCAACATAAATGATAAACAAAATGATAAATAAATTTGGAAATCTTGAAAAAAGTTCATTAATGCAGCAGTGTACTTTAAAATTGAAATTGAGTTTATTTGGAAGTGTTCCTTAAAAGCAATCACAATTTAAAAACCCTCGAAAATGCGTAAAAATAATGTTTGTTTACATTTCTGAATTGAAATGTGTTAATGCTTGCTGTCAAATAAACGCACAAATTTCAACATTCTTTTGCACAAATTTTAAAATTTTCCGCACAAATTTCAACATTTGAACAAAACGGTCAAATTTCTCTTCCTATAAGCAGCAAAACCATCACTAAGGATAAAAAATGAAAATTCCAACAATTTTTGATAATTTAAGACCAACCGTAAATTTTTAAAGTAAGGCATTAAAAAGTTATACGCAAATGAAATCTTCAAGTGCAAAAACACACAAATTTCAACATAGTTTACCCTACCAAAACACATATTTAAAAATATCTTAGAATATTTCATATTTATGTAAATTTCTAATGAGATAAATTCAGATCTTGTTTTTAATTTTATATTTATTCATCAGTAAAATGAATTTCAATAGCGTCATGCATATTCAAACAGTAAAAATAATTGTTTTTCACCCTTTAATTCCATTCCCAAACTTTTGAAATCATTTACAAAATTGTAAATTTCAAATTTTGTTACTAGCTTGATAATAATAATGTGAATAATACCTAATTATCAATTTTGTTGTCAATACCATTGCTCAAGGTACACGAATATACATACTTATATTCAAAGAACCTTCTTCCGCAAATAGCTTTTCTCTGTCAATATGAAGGAAATTATTAAATGAATAATCCTTTTTTAAATTATTAACTGTGCAGACCTTTTTCAAGGTCAAATTTCCTACGTTTTCAATTTGTAATAAGATATACCAACAACTTAACAATATTGATTGATTCGATTTTTTTTTTCAGTTCACATACTAAAGTGGTCAACATCATTGAAAAGAGCTTATTCAAGTACAGCAGTTGTAAAATTTCCCACATACATAATATAAAGCATTAGTCATCATGAAGAAATCTATGTGGTTATGCACTATTCTTGAACGATATTAAACATTTTAAATTTTTACTTGTTCTGATTTAATTTTACAACAGGTTGTATTTGATCTTCTTACATTAAGTTTTCTTATCTTTTTTAAATAATCATTGACTCTTAAACATTTTTTAAAACTATGACCAAAAAAAATTCAAATTGAGTTTCTTTGAAATTACATATTAAAAGGAGGGTTAACTGAAATAGGTCAGCACAAAAGGAATATACGATCTGCTTCTCACGTATCCAGTAGAATTATTGTATTAGAATTATATAGTATAAATTAGAATTGAAGAAAATCAGCTTTTAATTACCAATTGAATTTTAATTGAGTTCCAAGAAATTCGGTTCCATTAGTTTCAAAATGATAACACATAAAATGCTAATAATGCACACTTTTTCGTAAGAATTTTAATATGTAATCATAATTGTATTTGTTATTAGTTTATCACAAAATTATCTCGAAATTCTTATTTGTGTGCATTAACAATTTTCCATTTGTTACTGTTTGATTCAAACAAAGCAAACTGTTTTTGGTTCATTAATAAGAAATCAGTACGTTTTCACTCTTTTTTACTGTACAAACACTGACCATTTTATGAACAAGCTTTATTGATTAATCAATTATGTATGTCCACCTTGTGAGCATTGGAAGGATATGAACGTTCATGAACATGTTTATTTGGTAACTCTATAATGTGATACATTAGCGATGAAATTGAAAATCGTCAAGGTTAAAGGATATTGAAAGAAAATTCTGGAAAATTTCAAGAGTTTAATAGTGTGTAAAGTGCAATATAATTAAGTGTTGAAGAGCAACTGTTAATATGTTATTTATATTTTCAAGTGCATACGAATTATATTGTTCACATTCATTGTATTTGTAAATCTTAATAAATTTAAAAACTTCCTAAATGACCAATTGCAAGTTAAGTGCCATTTTGATACATTGTTTCCTTTTAATGTCATCATTGAGAAATGTTTTGTTTATGAAAGTAAATTTTATGATGTCCACAGAAAAGGACTAAAACAAATTGCAATAAAAGTATTATTGAGGTACGTCGTATTAATCAAATAAACAAATTTTATTCATACACTATAGCACTATGTGTAATTATCACTAACATAAA